TGCAATTAAATCATGCTGGTCTCGATATTTTTGCGCCCCCCGGTGCCATAACACCGATGGGTGCGAAATCAACGATGGGTGGGTGCCATAACACGCACAATTAGCTACTTGTACGGTATTGTCTCGAACGATGCACAACCCCTCTCTCTCGAGCCCCGCGCAAACCCGCTGCGATCTAGAACCCTGCACAGGGACGTTGTCCAACGTCCTTGTTTGTCCGGGCGGTGGCTAATGTGCACTTCTTGGAGGGGTGGGATCACGCGAGCCCATTCTTTTCTTGACGGCGGTTCTCCGTCGAGGGCAACCCTCTTGAAACTTAACCCCTTTAGGGCTGGATCGCCTTTTGGGGACACTTTTTGTCCCCATCTTGCTTTACCTCGCGAAGAATGGCATGATTGTCTCCTCCTTTACACTACCTGACCAGGGGGGTGCCAGGGTACACAGGGACGACTCTAGTCTAGGATGGATGCTTTGTAGAGTGGAGGAGTATGAGGGTAATGAACAGGTCGAATCGCGGGGCGATTACGCCGCGGGTTCAACAGCGAAGTTGCTCCGCGTCTGTCTACCCTTGGGTGGAAAGCGCTACTTAGCACACCGTTGATAGGAGGCACCGAGCAACCTAGGGCTTGCGTCAGAAGGCCTCGCTTTCCCTCTAGAGAAATATCTTGAAAACCTCCTTTTCGTGCCCCGTTTACCACGCTCCCGCCAGTTGCTGTCTACGAGGGGACATTTGATAGGGATTATAGACAAGAGACGGCTCAAGTGGGAAGGCAGCTTTGCACTTGCACCCAGGGATGGAACTGTCTACACCATCCAATCAGCAGGCGTCGTTCGCTCTTTTTCCTACATTTCAGAAATTTCGCAAGAACGCCGAACTTTCTGTGCGTGGTAAGGGTCTTCGCCGAGGTCCTCGAGGTCGTCGTCATCCGATTCAGCGAGGATGATGTTGTTCTGCGGAACCTGGTGTGCTTGGAGGAGGGGAAGACGGAAGCGGGGGGGGGGGGGGAGGAGACACCCCTTGACCGAGTACGGAGGGCGTATGGGGGATGCTGTATGCCGATGATGCCGGCGTCGTATCGAGGTCTGCAGAAGGACTGGCGAGAATGATGACGATCATCGTTGAAGGTGTTCGGGGAGTTCGGGCTAACGGTGTCGGAGAAGAAGACGGAGACTCTCCTGATGCGCGCGAAGGGACAAGCCGACTACAACATCACAGCCCCCCCAGCCTCCACCGCTGACCATCGAAGCCGCGGGACAGAAATACGCCCAGACGACCGAGTTCCGGTACCTCGGTGGCCTCGTCAACGAACATGGCGACCTCACCCGGGAGATCAACTACAGGAGCAGAGGAGCGTGGGCGTGCCTCAGGCGATATGGCCGGGAGCTCTTCGACAGACCGAAAGCGCCATTCCGACTCAAGGTCCACCTGCTCCAGGCGGAGGCGATGGAGGCACTGCTGTACGGCTGCATGACATGGTCACCACTCAGCGGCCACTATCAGACACTGCGTTCGACACACCACCGACTGCTCCTTCGAGTTATCGGGTACAAGCGCAAGAAAGACACCTACCGGCAGCTCTCTTACGCCCAGACGCTGAATAGGGTCGAATGCCAGAGCGTTGAAGCCTCGATCCGACAACGACGCCTACTGTTCGCGGGAGCACTGGCAAGGCAGCCGGGCGAGCGACTCCCGAAACGACTGATGTTCGGCGAACTGACGGGGGGGGTGAAGCCACGTAGGGGGGACAGGAACAGAACTGGTCGAAGTGTGTGTTCGACGACCTGAAGGCATTCGGGGCCGACCACGGATCTACGAAAACCGATCCATGTTGTCTCGGAATCCCGGTACCGAAAGACACGGCACCGAAGTGAAAGTGGACGGAAGCCGCGAAGTTGGAGGGGGGAGTACCCTGGCATGCGGCGGTGCTGCAGGGAGCAGAGAGGTTTATGACCTCCTGGCACGAGAAGGAAGAAGAGGCCAGCCGACAACAAGCGCTCAAACGAAACCACAAGCCAACAACCAATGGGGCGGGAGGGGGGCAGGAGACGGACGAGACGGCAAGGGAAGAAAGCAAACGAGAAGAGACGGACCGAGTGGCGCGATACGTGCCGGATTGAAATTCTTTTAGCCAATTCCCCCCCCCCCAACGCTGCACCATTGCACCAACCCCCCACTAGTGATGACGTACCATTACAATGTATCGCTGGTTGGTGGCCATGTTTGCGTACTGTTCGTTAGTGGTCTCTCCACTGTGTGCCTTTTTCTGCCTCTTATTTCTTCTTATTTTCGGCCTGGTCCCTTTTTGTCCTCGCTCTTTTTCATTTTATTTTCATTTTATTTTCTATTTCCTTCCTGTTTCCTTTTTGTTTTTTCTCTTTTTCTCTCTTTTGTTTATCTCTTTTTCTGTACCAGATGGCCTTGTCTCTGCTTGCGTTGTGAAGTACCAAGATTGGACCAAGGGGGTGTACCTCTTTCTCTCCGGCCCGTGATAGTGACTCCTAGTCTCAGTTGATACCTCGCATAGCGCGCAGAGGGAGTGGAGGACTCCAGAATATCTGTCGTTGATTTCTATCGACTTGCGGACCCCTCGGGGCCAGTTTATTTGAGTGTACCTTTTTAGGGTAAGTTAACCTGTGACCACGGGAATCGACCGCGTCGAGTGTTGGATCAGTACGGACATACGAAGGTACTGGGTAGAGAGATCGGAACGGTTTTTAATGTGAAGACAACAACAACAACAACAACAACAACAACAAGGGGGTTAAGGGCGCACTGGGGATCGCAGTACCTCCTCTGAAAAATCCAGGAAACGCCTGCATATCTCGGTTTTCCGAAGTCTAACTTCAGTACGAAACTTCCATCGTAAATTAACCGTCCGCTGACCCCCCCTCGTGGACAAAGTCAGTACTTAGCTGAGATTGTAGCCCTTGTGATACACTACAGACTAGCGGTCCGCGATTTTCCAAACGATCCTTCTATCATCGAGTTCGGTGAGCTACAAGCTAGATTTTTGAAGCTGCTGTGCGGTCCGATTTTGAAACGCTTCAAGCACCTTTGCTTAAAGGCTAGACATACAATATACATGACCCCAGGCATTCAAATCGACAATGGCGACCAGCTGGATATGTGAGGGAAGAGCTGCGCTGAAGTTCGCGGCCCCATACACTTCACATAGGCGGTGATTCGTGTTCACCGTGTGCTTGAAGCCTTTCAAATTTGGACCGCACAGCAGCTTCAAAAATCTAGCTCGTAGCTCACCGAACTCGATGATAAAAGGATCGTTTGGAAAATCGCGGACCGCTAGTCTGTAGAGTATCGCAAGGGCTACAACCTCAGTTACTAACATTGTACACGAGGGGGGGTCGGCGGACGGTTAATTTGCGATGGAAGTTTCGTACTGAAGTTCGACTTTGGAAAACCAAGATTAGCAGGCGTTTCCAGGCGTTTCCTGTTTTTACGAAGTACCGCGATCGCCAGTGCGGCCTTAATTTTTCGAGTCCTGCACGGTTGAGGGAACGTGTCCACAACGCCCTACAATATATCCAGACGGCAACTCCTGTAACTCATGTGCACTTATTGGGAGTTAACCTTACGTGCACAACGTCGATTGTTGCTTTGCAGCGCCTTGCAAGTACGTACTTCGTATACATTATACATACAAACGGATCATCAGCAGTATATGCATGTTGTTGTTGTTGTTGTTGTCTTCCCATTAAAAACCGTTCCGATCTCTCTCTACCCAGTACTGATCCAACACTCGACGCGGTCGATTCCCGTGGTCACAGGTTAACTTACTCTAAAAAGGTACACTCAAATAAACTGGTCCCGAGGGGTCCGCAAGTCAATAGAAATCAACGACAGATATTCTGGAATCCTCCACTCCCTCTGCGCGCTATGCGAGGTATCAACTGGGACTATGTATTCTGCCGTAGTCTATGTACAAGTAGCGGTTGGTAATCATGCACACCGCTTGTAACAATAAATGCAAAGTTTACAACTCACATCATTACTGTTGCACATATTCCTGTCGTTCTGTCGCACATCATTGCATGACTACGCCGCGCTCAATCGGCTCTCACCCAGCAGCACCATTCCCATCATGCATACAATTGTACCACGCAGTACAACAGAAGGAGCCGAGCAACACGTGCAACGAACCAACCAAACAGGCAACGCCCCGCCCCGTGTGAGGGAGCCCGCAGATAATATCTCGCCACATGGTTCGTCTTTCGTGTGGTTCCTCCGCACTTCTGGCATGTAGCTCTCACTTCCAACTGCACGTTGCCAAGCTGGAGCAGCAAGCCATTCCGAGGAAGGGGATACAGACGGGATCAAACAGGCAAAGGGGAGGGGGAACTTCAGCTCTTGCTTCAAGGTCTTTGAGTGGTGGCGTTGGAAACGAGAGCAGCAGCGGATACTCTGCTACAACAGACAAGTCTAGAGGCTTATCATCACCCTCGTTCGTGTGGGACCCATTTCGTCGGTGAGTTCATGGCGTCCCGATTGTTGCACTTTGCATCGCACCCCTGGTACTTTGGTCGAGGTGTGGGATGTGTGTAGTGCTCAGGTTTTCGCGTCATCTCGAAAGAATGTCGCGACCGATCGCAACGTTTATTTCACGGAGAAACGATTTTTATTTTTGTGTGTCTACATGGGGACTCCGTCATCAGACTCTTTCTTTTTTTTTTTTTTCTTTCTTCTGTCATTTCAGCATCAAACGTGCGTTCCGCGTCCGCAAGCAAGCCCGCAAGTATCTATTCCATCTGAGAGCTTTCTCGCGCAGTTCGTCGAAATACCAGCTGCTTTCGGCTAGCACGACGCGCTCTTTGCACATTCGGTAGCCCAAGCGCGAAAAGATGACCGAATCAGCGCTTGTGTTTTTTCTGCATTTACTCCCGGCTTCAGCGTGTTGATCCCTGCCTGGGGTGGCTTGTTTTTTGCTTTTGCCCCGCAAACTTTTTTCTCTCTCCCTGAATCCCCGCAGAACACCTCTACCACCATGGCGTCGACCGATCGTGACGTACTGGTTGCCCTATATAACGCGACCGAGGGAGCTAATTGGCAGAACAGCATCAACTGGGGCACGGATGCTGATCTCTCGCAATGGTTCGGTGTCACAGTCAACCACCAGGGCCGCGTCGTGCGGCTAGATCTATCTTTCAACAACCTCCGAGGTATTTAAGGCCTACATGCAGACAGGGCATCTTGCCCTCTTGCGATGTCTTTTGACCTTTGCCAAGAATTCGGTGACCGAAAGCGACCCTTTCAACAAATTGCAAGTTTTGCAGGAAGCCACCACGTTGTCTTGGTGGTACGTGCCAGCGTTCTGCACGCGGCCTACGCCTGGATAATCCCATGTAGACTACAATATGTGTTTCGGCCGCAGTACCAGCACGCTGCGCACGATCCTGCTGTACTCGACAAAGCTAATCAACACCTCTATACGCCGCCTTCTAGCCTGCTCCTTGAACACAACGCCACCTGTATACCACATCGCTCTTCCTGGCTTCCAAGTGCTTCTGGTACACAGAGAACCTTCGGTATCGCTTGTCGTGCAAGGCTCGGATTCGCTTTTTTCCGTACTCTGGAGAATTCTCGACCACGAACCTGTGCCGCACCGGCCCGGTAGGCTTGGTGGTTGGTTTCGTCGCTAACATCCATCCGCTGTCGCTGTTCGCAACCGTGTGTGCAACAGAGTCGCGAATTGTGTGGTGATTGTCAGCAGTACACTTGGACAGGAACTAAGATTTGTAGAGATCGGCTTTTTCGAGTCTGGAATAAACCTCTTCTAGAACATGTGACCCTCCGTGAATCCCGTGTGCGTTTGCGAATGCCTGCTAGTAGAAGTTTTTTTTTTCATAATCCTCACCAGTAAGGTCGTTGCTGCTGAGCCGAAGTGCCTGCGACTTGCCCAGGGCTCCCAGCACCTTGGGGATGAAACCTGCACGCAACAAGACGGTAATTTGTTGCTCTCAGAAGGTGTACCGCCATGTAGCTCGCTCACTTTTTCGCAAATGTTCTAGAAGGCTCGCCAACGCCCTATGCAGGACTCGTGATGTTTGTGCAAGACGATCAGGGGAACCAAATTATGTTTTTGTTACTCACCGCTTAGCTGGTTGGCGAAAAGGGAGAGCCACTCGGTTCTTCAAGCTTTCCGAGCTCCGGCGGGATGGGGCCTGCAAGCAGAAAAGCAAAAACGAAATCAGCGGGAAATAAAAAACAATTCCCGGCCTTCGAGAACGTCCACCTACTCACCCACGCATATACGCGGGATTCATGCATGCTCAGAACCCGAAAGAATAAAACACTTTTCGATCTGTTCAACTCACCGCCTAACTTGTTGTCGAAGAGGCTGAGGGACTTGAGAGCACCAAGATCTCCCAGCTGCGGCGGAATGTAGCCTGTGGATGAACGAGTCAAAAGGGTAATTTAGCGAGGTAAAGCACAAAAAATCCCCCGAGTTCTAGAACGTCGGACCCGACTACGCTTAGCAAAAGATGTCCCGCGAGTTCCGCAATTGTGAAATTTCGTACCCGCCTACGCAGTACGCGGGACAAGATCTACGGAGATCAGTTGTCTTCAAAATAGAGAGGCGAGTTATTTGTTTTTTTATCCCCGCTTGATTTGTATCGCACTCCTGCTTACAGGCCACATCCCGCCGGAGCTCGGGAACCTCGCAGCGCTGCAACGCCTCGGCCTTGACAACAACGTGCTAAGCGGTGAGTAATGGCGCACAATTTGGTATTGTGATCATTTGCACGTTGAATCCCACCAACGCGTGGGTGAGTACGAAATTTCGCAATTTCGGAACTCGCGGGACATCTTTTGCTACGAGTTGCGTTATGTAAGTGTTTCTAGAAGCCGGGGCATTTAGCTTTGATTCTTCCCGCTACATTATGGGTACTGTGTTCTCGTTTTTTCTCCTTCGATTGCAGGTCCCATCCCTGTGGAGCTTGGACGGCTCGCCCTACTGGAGCACCTCAGCCTTGGGGGGAACGAGCTAGCTGGTAAGTAATTTTGTTCCAGTTTCCAAGATGAATCCCGCCGTAGGCAGGACAAGATCTACGGGGATCAGTCGTCTTGAAGTTAGAGAGTCGTGTTAATGTTTTTTATTTCCCGCTTGATTTCTATCGCACTTCCAGGCCCCATCCCGCGGGAGCTAGGGAACCTCGCAGCGCTGCAACGCCTCGACCTTGAAGGCAACGGGCTAAGCGGTGAGTTAAGGAGCACAGCATGATGTTTGCAAGTTTCGGGATGAATCCCACCAACTGCGTTGGCGTCCACGAAACTTTTGTACGGAAAGCGCGGGGATTTTTCTTTCGTCTCCTCCGAATTTGCAAATATCATGCAAATATCATGTTGCGCCCCATAACTCACCGCTTAGCTCGTTCTTTGCAAGGCTGAGGTATTGTAGCGCTGCGAGGTTCCCGAGCTCCCGCGGGATGGGGCCTGCGAGCAGGAGGGCGATACAAATCAAGCGCGACAAAAAAACAAGAAATATTATCCCGCCTCTCGATTTTCAAGAGGACGCCAACGCATGGGTGAGTAGGTGTTCTAGAAGTCGGGGGATTTTTGTGTTTTCCCCCGCTTACTATCTCCGCTATCCCCCCTTTGGCTTGCAGGGCGCATCCCGCCGGAGCTGGGAGCTCTCAGCGAGCTGCAGGTGCTTGCCCTCCACAACAACAAGCTGACAGGTACCAACTTTTGCAACTTTTTTGGGGTTGTTGAATGTTTACCAAACTTGTTCCGTGCATGAATCCCGTGTATGCGTTGGCGTCCACGAAATTTTTGTACGGGACCAATGTTCTAGAAAGCGGGGGGTTGTTTTCTTTTGTCCCGCTGAGCTACTCCGTTCCGTCCGTCCGCTTGCAGGCCCCATCCCATCGGAGCTTGGGCACCTTTCAGCACTGAAGAGGCTCTACCTTTCCAACAACCAGCTGAGCGGTGAGTCAACATTTGATTTCATGACTGTTCCACGACCGATTTTGCGGCGAGTCCCGTGTACGAATCTCGCTGATGCACGTGAGTGGACGCCAACGCATGGGTGAGTAGGTGTTCTAGAAGTCGGGGATTTTTGTGTTTTCCCCCGCTTACTATCTCCGCTATCCCCCCTTTGGCTTGCAGGGCGCATCCCGCCGGAGCTGGGAGCTCTCAGCGAGCTGCGGGTGCTGGCCCTCGACAACAACAAGCTGACAGGTACCAACTTTTGCAACTTTTTTGGGGTTGTTGAATGTTTACCAAACTTGTTCCGTGCATGGATCCCGTGTATGGCATCGGCGAGATTCATCCATAGATCAATGCTAGAAAAAAATTAAACCGACCATCAAAATAAGGTACCTGTGAGGTGGTTGTCGCTGAGCCACAGCTTCTGCAGCTGTCGGAGATTTCCTAGCTCTGGCGGGATGTTGCCTGCCAGACGAAGGGACAATAAGAAGTTGGCGGGAGAAAACAAAATTAATCCCCCGGCGTCTAGAAAAACGGTCCTGCCAACGCCGTACGCGGGATTCATGCATGTTCAGAACCCGACAGAATAAAATACTTTCGATCTATTCAACTCACCGCCTAATTTGTTGTTGAAGAGGCTGAGGGACTTGAGAGCACCAAGATCTCCCAGCTGCGGCGGAATGTGGCCTGTAGAGGAGCGAGTCAAAAGGGTAATTTAGCGAGGTAAAGCAAAAAAACATCCCCCGAGTTCTAGAACATCGGACCCGACTACGCTTAGCAAAAGATATCCAGCGAGTTCCGTAGTTGTGAAATTTCGTACTCGCCTACGGCATCGGCGGGATTCATCTTGGAAATTTTGAACTGAATTACTTACCAGTTAGCTCGTTCGCCCCAAGGTCGAGGTACGCCAGTACGGCGAGCCGTCCAAGCTCCACAGGGATGGGACCTGCAATCGAGAAAAAACGAGAACACAGTACCCACAATGAAGCGGGAAGAATCCAAGCTAAATGCCCCGGCTTCTAGAAACACCTACTCAATAACGCAAGTCGTAGCAAAAGATGTCCCGCGAGTTCCGAAATTGCGAAATTTCGTACTCAGCCACGCATGGGCGGGATTCATCCATGGAATCATGAGAATAAATTGAAGTTTCTGCCACAAATGAAAAAAACCTCACCTGTGAGCTCGTTGATCTGGAGCCACAGTTGCTTGAGCTCTGTGAGGTTTCCAAGCTCCGGCGGGATGGAACCTGCAATCGGAAGAGGGAGTACAAATCATCAGCGGGACATCTTTTGCTACGTGCAATTGTGAAATTTCGTACTCGCCTACGCGTGCGCGGGATTCATGCTTCAAACACGTACTGCTGCACAAACTCACCGGTTAGCTGGTTATCCGAGAGGGCGAGGTTCTGCAGCGCGGCGAGCTCTCCAAGCTCCGGCGGGATGGAACCTGCAACCGGAAGAGGGAGTAGCGGGAGAAAACAAATTTAAATGCCCCGGCTTTCGAGAACACACGCGTAGCAAAAGATATCCCGCGAGTTCCCAAACTGCGAAATTTCATACTCACCCACGCATCGGCGGGATTCATCTTGGAAACTGGAACAAAATTATAAATTACTTACCAGTTAGCTCGTTCCCCCCAAGGCTGAGGTACTCCAGTACGGCGAGCCGTCCAAGCTCCACAGGGATGGGACCTGCAATCGAAGGAGAAAAAACGAGAACACAGTACCCATAATGTAGCGGGAAGAATCAAAGCTAAATGCCCCGGCTTCTAGAAACACCTACTCAAACGCAACTCGTAGCAAACGTCCGAAATTGCGAAAATTCGTACTCACCCACGCTTAGGCGAGTACGAAATTTCAGAACTCACGCGATATCTTTTATTTTTCCTCACTTCATTCGTGTTTCACCCTACGGTTCTTCACCACACAGGAAAGATACCGGAGGAGCTAGGGAAGCTAACTGCGCTAAAGGAGCTATTTCTGAACCACAACCAGCTTTCAGGTGAGCACTGGGGAACACACATTGTTTCCTTCTTTAGGAACATGCATGAATCTCGCACACGCATTGGCAAGACTCATCCCGAAAAGCGGAACATTTAACACTTGTACTTGGCGACTCACCGGTCAGCTGGTTGCTCCGAAAATTGAGGTACTGTAGTGCTGCGAGGTTGCCGAGCTCCGGCGGGATGGGGCCTGCGAGCAGAAGGGTAAATACGATGTCAGCGGGAAAAAAAACCTTTCCGCTTTCCAAAACACCTACCTACTCACCCACGTAGTGGGTGAGTACGAAATTTCAGAACTCGCGGGATATCTGTTATTTTTCCTCACTACATTCGTATTTCATCATACGGTTCTTCACCTCACAGGAAGGATACCGGAGGAGCTAGGGAAGCTAACTGCGCTGCAGGAGCTTGTTCTGTTCAGCAACCAGCTTTCAGGTGAGTACTGGGGAACACACATTGTTTCATTCTTTGGGAACATGCATGAATCCCGCGTACGCGTTGGCGAGCAGGCTTCTAGAAACCAACGTAGCACCTTTCTAAACACGACCAAGCGACGAAACAGAAAGGTACCCAGAGTGCCCACATCTTGCCGATGAGACGACTGACAAGTGTCTCCAAGGTGAGGAGAGCTCCCAGCGCCTCGGGAATTGGCCCTGCAGGCAGAGCACCAAATGTGCTATGTTCAGTAAATGCATGGTACCTGGTATTGTTGGACATGTGTCCCATCAACCGTGTGGGTGAGTATGGGTTCTATCTTGTAAACGCGGGGGGGTAGCAAACTGCTAAATCCGTGCTCAGAATCGTTTGTGCTACTTGCTTGCGGGCCCCATCCCGCAGGAGCTGGGGAATCCCGCAGCACTGAAGTACCTATTTAGGCTTGCACCATGACCAGCTAAGCGGGAAATGTGTAATGTTCCAGGATGAGTCCTGTTTATGGTCCACGCATGCAATACTACTTGCGTCGTAGCTGTCCGCCGAAACCCAAGAAGGATCCTCCACTGCTGCGAGGTTACCGTGCTCTAGTGGAATGGGCCGTGTAGCGAACGAATATAGCGGAAGAGGGGTCGTCTTGCCTGTTCTTTTAGAAGGTGAGGACTTACTCACCCATGCCATAAGGAAGTGAGTTGTCTGGAAGCGAGAGGTGTTGGAGAAAAAAAAGGTGCGATATTGCTTTTTTTTATGCCCAACTTAGCCCCTTTGGGTCTACTGTAGCTCTTCTTTTTTTTTGCGGCAAACAAAAAAAAGGGAGGAGAGAGTGCGCGAGAGAGACAGAAGTACAGCAGAAAGAGACGAGTGTACTTCTGTAGACGCAACAGCTATCTCCACCCATAGGCCATGACGGCTCCCCGCGACAGGACGGTGGGCACAGACAGGGTCATTGAAGGGTTGATGCATGGTCGCGGTGCGGCCGGTAGGGCAGGTTAGGCTTGTAGACCTCGAAAAGATCAGTCGTCAAGCCGCCCAAACTACTCTATTTTCAGTACATTGAAATGATCAGTGAGAATGATCAGTGAGAGGGCTTGTAGACCCATAGCTGGTTCTTGCTTCTGTACTTCTCTGTCCCCTCCCCAATGTGAGCTCTGCCGGCTCACTACAGCTCCTGTGATTTTCCCACAATCACGCAAGCACACCAGCGCACGCCTACCGTTGCATCAGTGACTCTCTAGGTTCGGGCGAGGGAATGTGTGGGGCTATGATGATACTGTATGTGTTACTACCGTACTGCTGTATGTTGTCTCTCGTCTATATTGCTGCTGCTGTGTAGTATAGCTGCTGACATGATGACTGCTGGATCTTGGGAGTGTATGATTTTCAAATTTGGAGGATATGCAGCATACCACGATATCCTGGCCTGGTTGGGCTTGAAGTGCCCCCTTCGCTGGCCTCCTGCCTGTGCTTTAGTGGCTTCCTAGATTCGGGTGAGGGCATGTATGTGGAGCTATTGATGTGTGTCTCTGTGAAAGGATATGGGGAGAGATTCATGGTGGCATTCGCATTTAGAGCAGTGTGCATTTTTCGAAATTTGGCGGTTCCAGGGACCTTGATATTACCCGCTGGCACTAACGTCTTTTCATCGGTCACCGGGTAGCGCGGTCGATGCGTATAATAAAGACACACCTACCTTTTGACTTGCCAGCACCTGGCGTGGAGGGATACAGGGCGGCAACTCCATGGCATGCCACAACACCAGCATTTGCAAGTCATCAATCAATGATCTGTCAGGACGCCTGTAGACCCACAGCTCTATCAAGGCTCCCAGCTCCTTGGGTATCGGCCTTGTCCAAAGAAGCACAACATTAAAATATTATATGGTAACATCGCATTCATATCATCAAACTTTTTAGAATAGAATAGTGGCTTGCCGACAGCGTGAAAATGGCGCCCGTGTAGTTGCTTCTGAATTGCGATCAAGCCTGATGTATATGTTTTGCTGCTTTTGCAGGGAACATCCCGAAGGAACTTGGAGCTCTGAATAAGCTGGAGACCCTTGATATTCACAGCAACCAGCTTTCCGGTGAGTGTTGTGTCAAAAGGGTTGGTGTTGTTTTTATTCATTCATTATTTATCGTATGCTTTTCTTCAAGAATGCTCACCCTTCGTGTGATGCGCACACTGGGTACTAGTTTTTTGTCACGGAGACTCACCGTTGAGCTTGTTGAAATGCGAGGAGAGTAGTTGGCGGTTGCCGAGCTGCCCTAACGATGCCGAAATTTGCCTTCAGGTCACTCGGGGAGGTTTTTCTATTTAACCCTGTGGAGACTGTAGGTGGTACTGGTGTCACGGGATGTCAATTACACGAAATCCACCGATCACATAACGTTTCGATGCAGGACTGTGGCACGCGCTGGGACAGGACGAGACTGGTTCAATGGCAGCGGGGCCAGGTGAAATAAATGAGTCGCTTGACGATGACATTTTTCAAGGGTTTCCTCGGTAATTTTACCACCGTGGAATACCACCCTGGTGAGCGGTACCGGTACACTGCCGGTTTGCCGTCGTGTTTTGGTTTTACAACCTGCGCTAAAGTCGTTTCCGGAAAACACCAATGCCACCTACCGCCAAACAATTACCGGCAGAGTTTGTTTTTTTACGCCAAAGTCGATTTCGTCGAAAAACGCAATACCGCCCACCACCAAAACAACGCCTCAAGCCAATACCGCCCGATGTTTACCGCCATATTGCAATACCGACTGTACATTATGATCACACAAGTACGTTACCGCCGACGGAAGAGTGACCGATGGGCTGAGTGGGCAGAGACCTCGTCTCGTCGACTGCACGGGCAAAGTGTGAATCAGGGGTTCCGAGTCCTTGCATTTTTGTTCGTTTTGTGTTTTTACGTTATTGCCTCGAAGTTTTCAACATAAAAACATGAGAATAGCTAGTGAAAACGCCAAACAAACGTTCAAATTACGTGCGCAGGTGGCGAAGTTTGTCGGTAGTTTAGGCGCCGAAACCTGGCACCTTGTTTGCCGCCGTTTTTAGTACCGCTTGATGTTACGGTCATATGGCGTTCAATGCCGCTGGGACATACCGCTCCGGTAGGCGGCACCGGCATACCGCCGATTTTCCGCCTCTTTTTGGTTGAACCGCCTCCACCAAAGACGTTACCGCCGAAACAAGTAACGTCCGCCCGCCGCTAAGAAATTACCGCCGTGTTTGGGTTTTCCTGCCTCCGCCAAAGTCATTACCGCCAAAAAATTCAATACCGCCTCGCGCCGAAACGATTACCGCCCTACGCCATAACCGTCGAGAATGTGTTCGCCTAAAAGAACGTTACCGAGAATAAGCCCCTTATCTTTGTCGGGATACGTAGACTGTCGTGGGAACGGATGTGACCATTAGGCGGTGGTGCGCACCCCCTCTATCGTGTGATTTGAATGGCAATCTCATACTTAGTTGGGAATTGGGGAGCCTAGGTTGAGAAAAAGGACTGCGCCAGAACCCGGTTGAATCGTTGCGTAGGGAATGCTCTGTTGACAAGACTAATACAGTGCATTTGTGCTCAGCGAGTGCAGCAAGCATCCACATGTAGGACACATTTTTGGATTCCACTTGACATGTTGCATACAGATGGCCTGACCCGATCTGTGTTTGATCTGTTTAGGCCAAAAGCTCGCTGTATTTTCTCGCGCGTATTTGTCCACGTGGTTTGATACAATCGCGTCCCCCGATTTCAAGAGACCGAACCAAGAACCCCTTCCAGCCTAGTTTGGAAATATGGTGGAGGTATCAGTCGGCGCCAAGCAAGTCCGGACTTTATTTTTCGGCGAGGCGTTACATCTCTACAACTGGAAACTTGTAGTAGTTGTGGACACGGAGGGTAGGTGACCTGATGGACATCGGAGCGGCGAGTCTTGCGGGATGCACGCATGAACAATGTTGGCCGTTGACAGCATGACGTTGTATGTCTCCGCCCGACCACATGTTGTGCGTTCCATATTGGCGTTTTTCTAGGTACTCTTCCGGTGCCATTAGCCTGTCTTTTGGACAGCCTTGAACGGATTTACCGGTTGAGCGTTGCCCAAAACCCGTGGGAGAGTCCTCCCGACGCGATCGTGGTGGGTGGTATTCCGGCGGTGAGAGCGTACTTCGAAGCCATCTACATGGGCGGCACTACCGCTGTGACCCGACCTCTCAAGGTCGTCATCGTTGGAAAGGAGACTGTTGGAAAGACCAGGTACGCGGATATGACTTTCAGCCCGTTTTGTGAACACAGTCTTATTTGTTGACCTGTGGGAGGAAACGAAAAATCGTTGTTTTGGCAATGTTGCGCGTGTGTATGCTCAGTTAAAACCTTGCCCTTCAAGGCAACGTCCTCCAACCAATGCACCCTTTCCGTGGAATGGCCAGATCGTGTTTTTTTTTGTGCCTCTGGGCAACGTATGCATAGTTGGCGTTAGAAAAAATACTTGCGAGGTTAATCAAAGCCAGAGGTGTGATCACCACCGGACGCCGGCCGGTTGAAGATCTAGCCCTGAAAGAACGAGTCCACGTGTCCCCAAGGTGGGTCAACATTGTGCGCTGCTCTGCGACCCCGCTTGAAATTTTCGCAAAAATGTAAGTGAAACCTAAGGCCATTTGTTGTAGGACCATTTTTTTGAGATTTTTTTTCCCACCGAAAGGACGACCCAAAAAATGATCAACAACAATGATGACCCGCTTCTTGCGGTGCTGGTCGATCCTTTTTCTAATCCGAGTCATTGACCAAAGAACGAGACTCTGCAACGGCCGTTGGGAATAGTACGCGTCATATGTTCATGTACCCCCCCACCGATTTGGTTTTTCGGTGATACCTCCGCACAGAGTGAAGCAGCAGCAACTGTAAAGCCATCCCCCGCGAGCTGTGTGTATGGTCCGTCTTGTGTGACGGCTGATAGAGACCATAGGGAAATAGGAAGCACGGAATCTGAGGTGGCGGGAGTCAACAGCACGCTGGAAAATGCCCACCGCGCCAGCAACCAGTTTGTTATGGTCTTTTGCCCGGTGTCGCAACATTGGTTAACCGGTGATCCCTCGCCACCCACTGAAGCAACAGCGATGACCCTGGTATCCGCCACGAGCTGTGTGTATGGTGCGTCTTGTACGGTGGTCAAAACAGACCAGGAGGCTGAAGGGCGTTCAGAACTTGTGAGCGCGAGAGTCGTGGACGAGCGGGAAAAATGACCCACCGCGCCAACAACCTTTGCTCTTTTGCCCGGTGTCGCAACTTTCGTTCACCAATGATCTCTCGCCACCCACTGAAGCAGCAGCAATGACAAAGGTATCCGCCACGAACTGTGCGTATGGTTCGTCTTGTGTGGTACCAGGAGGCGATAGGACGCCCAGAAGTTGGGTTCGCAACACCGCTGCTGCGTCCAGGCTCTCTCGGCTTGTTTGCCTGTTGTTTGCCGCACACATCCGGTTGTCCACCTGGTCCAGCCGAATGAAAAAACAACGGCAACCGCCGGTGCTACCGACTCTGTACCAGCCACTTGACACAGCTCGTGTGACCACCGATAGCGTTTGCGGGGATCAACCGTCGAGATATTCAAGTTTGTGCGTGAGAGTCATGGGGTTGTGACCAATAAAGGACCAACATGTTGTTGCAGCCCCAACCTGTCCAAAAGTTGCCCAAAAAAAGACAGGATGGGCCATCCATAAAGGGTTGTTCTTTGCGGTATTTTTTTGCAAAAATCGTCAGAAGGGGTGCTTTGACCAGTTGTCTTGTTTTGGGGTTAAGAAAAGAAAACGATAGCCAAGAAAAGAAACCGTAAAAAATGGCCTAACGGACTTCTTCGGTGCCGAGGAGAAAACTTGGGCGACATCAGATGCTGTGCGGGCGTTCATGCTCACATAAACGTTGTGGTGACAATTCGACACGTATATTACGCTCGTGTGCATTACCGCAGTTTGCGCCGCAGCATCAAGACCGGGAAGCCGTGCATGACAAGAGGGGGTGGTGAGGAGAGCACTGTTCACGTGGATGTCGAAGACCACGATCTCGATGGTCACCCGATTCGGATGTTTGATTGTGCCGGTCAGGTGAGATGGATTATATTCCTTGTACGTGTTGTTTGTTCTGTCGCGCGCTTGAGTTGACCCAGTCGGTACACTTCCGTTGTGGGTCAGCGTGTTTTTCAAGAAAATCTATTGTGGCAGTCACCCAAGCTGGAGGTCGAGATAATTTCATGTTGTCGTCAGAAGATCCAACCATTGTTTCCAGCTTTCGCATGAGCTCTCCTGCGTTTACAGCATGGATTATGGCTGTTTTGTTTATAGTGTCGTTTTCGTCAGCTTACATGATACCCAATTCCGTTTCAACTGAATTGTCAGCGGATTTCGTTTTGTTTTCCTCGTTGTTGGTCAGAAACATGCAGCCGACGGGTGATACCGTCTATACCTACGTTGGATCACACCTGTACAAAATCATCGCGACGATGATGACGACGTTGGTGTTTGACCCTGGCCGTGTTCAACCTAGTTGAGTATCCTTTGGTTCTGCACCCCGTAGCCCAGTTCACTTGGTTGGACATCACGTTCCCATCCATTTACACCTTTCCAAGTGTCTGTGTGTGATACCCCACTTGGACCATTGGACAGGTTGTCTACTACGGATTGCTCCAGCTGTTTCTCACCCCTCGTGCTGTGTACCTGTTGGTATGGGATGCGGCGAAAGCCAGCGAGATGGAAGGCTTGAACCTTGAAGACCTTGCGATTGCTCCATGGCTACGACACTTGACGTTCCGCGTGCCGGACGCAAGTGTGATACTTGTGGGAAACAAGTGTGACCGCGTGGTAAGGACCAGGCGTACCGCAGTAGCGGTTGACGTGGAACATGAGAGCCGCCAATGGCTGGAGTCCTGGATAGAGATTGCGCGCGGACATCAACCACGCGGAATTTCGTTGGAAGACGGCGTTAGTCTCGTGAGCTGTGCAGCATCTGGCGTAGGCGCCGTGGCACCGTCATTCGGTAGGAGGTCAGGCTGGCCCTGCGACAAGAGTACGCCGGGGCTTTTCCATCGCATCATATACGACTCTACCGATGACACGAGGGTTGTTACCATGCGTCTTCCCGAGAGCTATCGACTCGCCCTTGAGATGCTGGAGGAGCTGGCGTCATGCAGTAGGTGAGGATATCGATGTCTATGTCGCCACTTGGTGTTACATATTCTTCCCATGCAGTCCAATATGTCAATACACACGTCACCGACGTAATCAATGTAAAATGTGTGTTTCCCACATCGAGCGATAGCGGTGCTGTGTCCACTCACGTTGAAACACACCTTGGCTCGACAGATTTGATATTGGTTGCGCGTTCTGTTTCCATGGTTCGTCGCGAATGGTTGGATAGAATTTTGCGTCATTGCACCGGTGTTGTTCCAGGAGCAAGACCGAGCAACAAACCCGCGGCATCACAAGAGCGATTTTGGAGGAAAAGTGGCAAGCCAAGGTGGCTGAGATGAACAGAGCCGGAACGTCGGTGGCGGCCCCGGACGCGGCCATGGCTGGTGCAATCTTGATCAGGTGAATTTTATCTCTGTTTGGACGTTTTCCCTTTGGAACGCCACTTGTCCAAATTCGTGGGCGTTGTGGATCGAAAACAGAAATTAGGTTCATGTATGTTTGAAACATGGGTGCAGAAAGTCACGCAAGATTTACATGTTTACGCTGTGGTATAGGTTATGACCGTCATGTCGGACGGAGAGTTAGTGCAGGCTTCACCTCAAGTCTGCTTCCCATTTGTTGTCGGGCCCGGCGTTGTATCGTACAACTTCACTGCTGTGTGCAGGAAATGGGAGGGGGGACTGGTGGAATACGGCAGCTACGTCTTCCTCGACGTCGAATGGTTCGCCACAGTTCTGGACCCTTTGTTTTGTCACAAGCGAGATTCATACGGGAAAATCGACCTTGGTGGCATTAGGGTGATGGACGTTGACAGCTTGGACCGGCTGGACGAAGAACATGTTTTAGAGCCGCAACTCGCTGAAGACCTGTGGGGCCCAGTGCTCGCACCGCATCTTCTCCTGGCTTTGAAGAGTGCAGGACTGACATTTCCCCTATCGAACGACTCCAATGGGGGCTTGGTTATCCTTCTGCGCATGGACACGAAGCCCCCACCTGACTACGGTATCAAGCTCAAGGAAAAAGACCAAGCTAACAAGTTCGACCTGAGGCTTGTTGTTGAATGTTCGTTCCGTCTAGGGTTGCCTCCCGGCTTTGTCGAGCGTCTCCTGGCGCGGTGCTGCCACTTGGGCCTCCCATACCCGTTCTGGAGATACGGAGCTCTGATAGTGGGGAAAGGCGCGGAAGAAAGGATGTTTTCACTGAGTTTGGAGTACTCTGAGGCGCGTAAGATCCTGACGGTCGAGGTGTCCGGGGGGCATACGGAGGTGTTCGCGTGGGCTGCTTTGTCAAAAGTCCTCTCCGTCACGATCAAGATGCTCTTGGAGTTCCCTGGTTTACCTTGCAGGACAACGTTTTTCTGCCCACTCCACAAGACCAACGGCATGAAGATCAGGACTAAAGATGTAAGCGCCCGAATTTGTTGCTCAAAATATTTTTTATTCGTTCGATGGTCCTAGTAGTTCTTCCTCAACAAAGTGGCGTTCGAAGCTAGCGTCACAAATCCATCTGACGGTTGTGCTGGCCAATCAGCACACTAGCTGTCTCCAGGTCTCATCAATATTTTGCCTTCTCCCCTTTGGTTTATTCAGATTGTAGGCGAGTGTTTTTTGGCCTCACAGGCACGAGAATATCACCACACTTGCAATCTGCGCACTTACTGATGACGGCGCCCGTCCGCTCTCTCTTTTGGCAGGCACGGCCTGGATCCTGCCTGGTCGGGGAGAGTGACTTTTGTAAACTATGTCAGGACCGTTCGGCGGCTGTAGGCCTTGTGGCGGTTGCTCTTCAGGTTGTGGAATTCTCAGACGAGAAGTTCTTCGATGAACAGCTTCGTGAGCAGTTCGCCGGGAAGGTGGCTCTCCAGGGTTGTGCGTCATGGCCTGGAAGCAACTCCGAGGTGGGGGCGCCTTTGCCACATGCAGTTGGTGCCAGGCTCAAGCGATGGTCGAGTGCAGTATGTGGTGTTACTTTCCCTTGTACAAAGGCCTCCGCCCAGGCCGTGATGTAGCGCGACGCCATACGTGTGTTGCAAATGTCGGACTGCGCTCGCCTCCGCGAATCATTTCTTGCTAATCTCACATCCGAACTGTTAATTGTACAGGTTTCTGGTCCGGCCCCTGTCCACATCAGTCCGAGCGGCCAAGCATCCGCACAGACTAGTTCGAGCAGCCAAGCACCTGCAGAGACCAGTTCAAGTAGCCAGGCATGTACAACGTTGTCAAAACACGAGGGTACAAGCAGTGTTCAGTTGCGTTCGGCGGCACAGAGTTGCACAAGATGGCCCAAATTGCGTGAAGTTCAATCACTACATCCAAGCTGCCTTTATTTGCTGCTGTCGTCCACGGTTACGTTATGTCATCCGCGTCGCGCGCAAGTATCTCGTTGAATCTTGAGTGCATGACATGTTGCCTCTCGGGCTGCTCTACCCGACTTTGATTTTCTCTCGTACCTCGTGTCAAGTGACTCTCCTGTCGAAAACAACACGAACAGTGGCGACAATCAAAGTCCGTTATATGTATCCTTACATCACCGAGCAATCACAAACTTCTGTCATCACGCTGCTTTCAATGTACAGGGTTCGCGAACGCCATGGTATCAGGACGTGAAGACGTTCGTAGGCGCCGCCAGTCTGGTATGCCTCGCTGTCTTTGGGGTGTTCCATGACGAGGAAGATGACGACCCTCGTCTATGGGGGGTGTTTCTGGGCCTTGGCATGTTGCTAGTTGGAGTAGAGTTTGGTTTAATTGCCAGAGAGTACAAGCTTTTGTGCTTCACACCAAGGGCCGAGGCGGCGAGCGCTGGAAATGAACGGCGGGGTGAGACCCGTGTATAGACCCCGTGCGTGTCCGAATAATGAGCTGCTGGCAGAGGGTTATCGGGTTTTCGCTTTGCAAAGGATACGGGAAGAGCTCTCGCGTCGCTGTGAAACAGCGTTTGGCATGACTACCCAGAGCGTGTCTCGTACAATGGGAGCACGATTGAAAAGTCGTGAGCGTTTCGAAACGAAGCAGTCGTCACGAGCGTGGGGAGCAGATACGAAACTAAGTGTGATGCCGGGAGCATTGCATGTGAGGAGAAGATGAGGGAGATCGATACAGATGTGGGGGTGGTCATGGTCGAAGTGCTATTTTAGGTTGTCAGATTCACCACCCCGAGGCGACGAGCAAAATAACTAACAAGGTGGGCGCGTTTGGTACATGTATTGCTTGAGAAAATTGTAAACAAACGTAAATGACGCTGACGTCGATACAGGTTGTTCGGATGGCCGTACAACAGTATGCCCTCGGGCTGCCCAGATTTGGACTACACATTGGTAGTGTAGGCAGTAAGTGCCATCGAGGTGAATTTGTTTTTCGTCTCATCTACTTTGGGCGCCGGTGCACCTTTGGGTATATGTATGCATTTTACCCTGCGCACAAGGGGCCCTCCAGTAGAAATCTTGGAGCACTTCAGCTACGTGTCGATCTTGGTCGACGGGGGAGGGGGGGGGGTAAGTCCTTAGATATAAATATATATATAGTTTTTTTTCTCCCATCATTGGACTCTGTCGTCTGCCTCTCTGACATCCATCCTCCACTTCTACTAGCTAGACGACCCAACCGGGGTCACATTGGAGGGGGGGTTGGGCCCCCTTCTGCGCTTCCTGCCTGAGATATTCTTATCGCGAGAAGGGTACAGCAATCCCTTCCCTCGCGACTTATGAAGTCGAACTAGTTTACTAACAACGAGCTTTGCAGCGCGTCGCTTCCAACTTAGACCAGGATTTATTTGGTGAGAAAACAACTCACTTAGCCGGGACTTGAACCCATGACCTGGTCCTTAGTAGGCTGCGAGGGTACCCACTAGACCACCGGGGCGACCGGTATAATGTCCCGTGGACATTTTGACCAAATCCACGGGGTCTCGACATTGTTAGCGCGCGCACGCGGGATCTCATACAGAGCTAGTGGGAATCATGGAACACCCCAAGCTGCGCGTCACTCTTGGTCGCGAGGAGGGTGGGGTCTGTTGTATGGTACATGTATAGGATATAATGGCGATACTAGATAAAGCCTGCTGTACTTCGTAGTATCGTACTCCGGACTATGGCTTTTAGAATACGGTACGAAAGCCTGTACAATGAAGAGTATAGTGGTTTTACTATGGACACACTATGTAAACCCTATACGGCAGACTGCTGCAAGTGAGGCGCCAAACGTGGCTATCCTGCGTGTCGATCTTGGCCCGGGGGGGGGGGTTCCACAGCTTCTACATGGAGGGCCCCGTGCTGCACATGGAATCGCCGCGTATAACTTGTAACAATGCTGGTCTCGTCGTGTTACACATGTCTTTCTTTTTCCCACCACGATATACTGATATGCTGTAGAATGAGGGGAGCCCATTTTGGTCCAATAAGGGGGAAGTTGAACTTCACACAAACAAAACTGTAGATGTACGCATGCTACTGACCACGTTGAGTTGGGTGACATCGCGTTTTTTACGAAAAACAGGGACGGCGGTAACAGCGGTTCTTAGCATCTTCCGTAAAGCAGGCCACGGAGGGAGAGGCCACGGAAGGAGAGGCCGACGAAGGTGCAGGTCCGTCAGAGAACAATCAATGATAGAAAACGAACCTTGCCCTTTGTGCGTCGCGTCTCCCGGCCGGGATGAGCGCCGGTGCGCCGGTTGCACGACCCGAAGGTCAGCAAAACATGAACGTAAACCCCGTACTAAAAACGCCTTTTTCTGGAACACCTGTTTTTCGTGGTTGCGCCGCATCGCCGCATCGCGGCAGCAGCTTCATCGCAGCCTCCGTCCCGGTGCAGCTGCTACCCCTCTCGTGTAGCCTCGCGCGGCACCGCTACCATGCCGTCCAGGAATATCATCCCAAAGCAGGGTAACGCCAAGGCACTACGCGCGAAGCGCAAACGTGAGCCACAGGTCCACGAGAATGCGAAAACAGCCATCATCATCAAGGGCCGCAAGACCAGCCAGGATGTGACCGACGCCCTCAAGGACATCGTGAGTTGTTGGGTGTTATTTCGACAAGGGTGCCTCTGCGACGGACATGCAGTGCCCTTCGATGACACGAGCTCCCATGAGTGGAGCCTTGTTTCCACCGAGTGGTTCGAACGCCCTGGGCAAGTAGGAGCCTGCAGCAACCAACCGGGTCTGGTCGAAGGTTCTACCAAATTCCTTAGCACCGCAGGCAACCTCGTGGGTGGCCCACAGCCCCAGACCAACTACTGCTGTAGTGTACGATCTATCTACGCACCATAGCAGCAGCAACAGGAAACCTAAAATATGTAAGCCTCCATATGAGTCGTAGTTGGCATGTACCCTGGAAGAGCAAGTTGGCATGTGGTTCGATTATTTCTTTCCGCCACTTAAACTACCAAAGGTACGCATCGTTGTGGGCCGACTACTTATTATAGTATACAATCTACCGTTGCTACTGCTGCACGTATCGCAATGAGTGTTGTTGCTGTTGCTAAAGTAGTGCTGCGGAGGCCGGGATGTTGTTTTCGACGGATTGGCTACAGCAGCAGCAAAGTACAGAAAACACGTCGCTTCACTTGGTCGATTGGTGCCGTGCCGTGACGGATTCCAAGTATCCCGTGTGTGCGAGCTACATTTCTTGTGTATGCAGGCTGTATACCGTTAACGACTCAAGGGCCAAGGTCACCCGGCGCAGTGATGCTGTCCCCGAAGAAGGACAGCTGTAACCCGTTGCTAGGAACGCCTGTTATCCACGTCGTGTGCCTCATGTTCACATTTTTTTTGTCGGCGCTGACATTCTCCGGAAAACCAGTATCGCCTCAAGTCTCCGGATGCCGTCATGTTCTCCAAGAAGAACGACACCAACCCCATGGAGGACGAGACCTCTGCCGAGTTCCTCATGTCCAAGAACGACTGCTCGCTCTTCTGCTTCGGCAGCCACAACAAGAAGCGTCCCAACAACGTTGTACTGGTAAGGCGAAGGGCCGTGAAGATGTCGAGGCGCATATGGTATACTCCGGTAAACACAAGATGACACACACTCACAACACCACACTCGTGGACGATATGTAGTCGGGTCAACATGGAGCCCCAATCAATAAAACTAACCCCTCGGACCGACTGCTGTAATAGAGCGACATCAGATGATACGCCCCCACGCAATGTAACACACCCGGTGATACTGTATTGTCTTTTTAAGCCAAAACTTTATCGCCTTGGGTTTCATCTTCTCTAGTGTTTTCCGTTGTCATCACAGATGAGCTTTTTATAACAGTACAGTAGCCTGTTGTTTTCGCCTCTTCACTACCCATGTTTGCATATTTTATTTACCCGACGCTCGTTCGCGGTGCGTAGATTCCTGGCCTATCTCGGCTGCATCGTCCGCCGCGTTGCACGCATCACCTCAACAAGTCCACACAAATTTAGTACATCAGTCTAGATCAGTCCCTTGCATACGCCGCACCCAGATGATACGTGTGCAACGTCACGTACTCTCTACCGCACGGCCTGGGGCAGGGCCGAACATTCGACGGGCACATGCTAGACATGATCGAGCTAGGCCTGGTCCAATACCGAGGGCTTGGGGAACTGGCCGGGCTAGCGAAACGGGTTGGCTCCAAGCCGGCGTTCGTGTTTTCGGGGGAGAAGTGGGGAAGGGAGGAGGCCTACCGGAAGCTTCAGAACCTGTTGCTGGGTGAGGAGTGGCGGGATAAGGGGTCCTTGTTTCTGGCGGTATGCATACATACAGACGAAGAACCTTTTGTTTATCACGAGGCTTGTTTTTCTTTTGTTGATCTGCGGGGGCATGCATCCCAACAGCGGTATATTGCGTCGCCAAAGCTGAAAGTCAAAAGTACCCGAAACGCAAACGAAACACACCCAACCCATCAAATCCTGATGTAGGTTGTTGGTGTGGTTCTTACTCGGCACATGTTCTTCCAGTGGAAGTCCTGAAGGGCACCTATTTTGGCCCTAATTTCTTGGCGCAAAACTTCTTACAAGTGAGGAGCGTGCACTGCCGTAGCAACAAATAGGTTCAGTTTCCAGCCGGTTTCCCTCCACTCACATACTGCTGTAAAGACTTGAGCACACCCCTTTCGACTGTGGTTATATCTCGAACGGGTAGTCTTTCTGTGTGGTTATGTTTACTTTCTAAAAATGTATTTCTAACTCTTTTCCTAGGAAAAAGGGGGGGGAGATAGTTTGCCATGTCTTGGCAGGAGGAGCTGCGGGGTCCTTGTTGGTGGTGTCGTGTCCTATGAGAGAGAGGGAAGGCGGTCTGGCTGCAACAATAGTATATGTCCTCTCGGCCCCGTTTGTCGTTAATTTTATTGACGATGAGGCTGCAGCCAAGTCATTTCAATACCACCCCTCACATGAACACCCCCCCCTCCCTGTCGCGCACGCGCGGCTTTTGTTGATATGGCGTGTTAGGCCCGCACTGACCCTCGTTGCGGTTTTTTGTGTTGACACATTTTCGCTATTTTTTTTGTTCCCCGACATTTTTTTTTTTCTTGTTCAGACTTTTTCCGGGGCCAGGTGGTGAACGAGGTGGCGTTGGCGGGTTTGGACCACTGCGTGGTGTGCACGGCAGCACAAGACAAGGTTTACGTGCGGCACTATCACATCGGGTTCCAGCGGTCAGGCTCTAAGGTATGCGATGCAGAAGGAAGACAGCAGACAGGCAGGCAGACATCCACACAGAAACAAGGATAATGACAGAGAGAGAGAGAAACACGCAGAGAGAGACACACACAGACAGACAGACAAGACAAGCGTACAAAGAGAGACAGCGAGAGACAGAGGGCAGAGGCTCAGAGAGGGAGACACGAACAGAGACAGGCAGACAGAGGAGAAGGAAATTACAGATTGCTGAGAGCGTGCCAATGTAGCCGTAATGTCATGAGTTTGTTTGCGTCCGGCGCACGGTGGCATCAACAACTCCTCCGGCACAAGGATTCGGCACTTGACCATCCGGTGCATTTCGAAAACACCATGATTTACTGCCGATGCATTATCGCCTTCCTTTGCCTCCCATGCTGGTCCCTGCTCCGTATCTCGCCTTTTTCGTTGTTCGGTCAGATCCAGATACCTGTATGCGCGTGGTTTCGAAGGAAATGAAACTCCCAACTTTGAGGTGTATGATTGCCTTGCGTCTTTCCCTCCAATTTTTTTTCTGTGCCTCTTTTTGCCCACGCTGGGGTGGAATGTTTTCTCGAATCTGACGCAGATCCCTTCCGTGGATCTGAAGGAGATGGGACCCTCGTTGGACCTGCAGATTCGACGCACCAGCTTCGCCGCGAAGGACTTGTGGAAAGCTTCCGTCAAGAAGCCCAGAGTGTGAGCGGTGCCTTCGTTTCATGTATCTATCGCCTTGTTTGTGTGTACGCACTGCGTGTTTTTATCTGTTACTGGCATCAACCGCGGATACCGGCCGACCAATGAAGAGATGTCAGTCCTGGGAACACGAACACTCTTTGCTACTGTGTGGCTGTGTGTATTTTTTCTGGGAGACTCTCTGACTCTGTTGACATTGCTCCTAGCCTGCTGAACGGCAAGAATACCGTGTATGTTCAGGAACTTCTACAGCAAACATGATGAATCTTGCAGCCTTTGACGGGTCGGCGTGAAACGAAAGGTGACACAATTCCATCCAAGGGGCGCTCATCCACAAGCATGGATGGCATGAATGCGGTTCGCGATCAGACCATCTTGGGAAATTTCTGGCAACTCTCACACGGCACTAATTTGCACCCATCATCCTCATCGTTGCTCTGTTTTTTCTTGTCTTTGTCGTCTTGCAACGAACACAAGAAATCCATCTCTTGTGCAGATAAAAGAGTGCGTGGTAGATTAGCAGTGCATTTAACAATGTTGTAGATGCGGTGGCCAACTTTGTATTTCTACGGCTCCCTAGCCTGCTCTGTTCTTTTTTGACCACCATTGTTGCTCTGTTATTTCTTGACCAATTGGCCCAATTGACCCTAGTGCGGAGACGAGAAAGACCAAGAACGTCTCGGCGAACCAGTTCGGGGACAAGCTTGGCCGCATCCACCTCGGGAGACAGGACCTTTCGAGCATGAAGGTGACCATGTACCCCCCCTCCTCGCTCGTTTTTAGAACTTTTCGTTCGTCCCATTTATTTTATCTGTCTCTATCGCGGTTTCTCAACTTCCCAACACCCCGTCTTTCCAACTCGAGAGCTCTTATCCTTGGTCGTACACACGATAACACCCTCCCATTATTTCATGAGTACAATGTACATAGCATCAACGTAGTATAGCATACGCCAAACACCCGATGGTAGTATTTTCACCGATTAGCGTGAGCTCAAAAGATAATAAAACAACTCTCAGGCAAATAGAGCGACACGAGGTACCACACACACTCACGTGCAACACCCCCCCGTCGATAGGCCAACCTATGCCAACATATCTTACACTATCACCGGGTTGCGTCATGTTGTGCCGTATGGAGTCTATGGTGCATGCCTTCCTTTCTCCGCGAACAAGTTCAGTGGTAGTCTTGCGGCCAGTTAGGCCATACTTCCTCTCGTATCCCAAATTTTGGATTGCTTATGTTGTGGGTTGCGACATCGTCTTGGAGGAAGTGTCACCCACGGCGTTCCGGACCTCTGTATCTCAGATACTTGACATTGTCGCGCAAGAATGGGGTGGACAAATTCTCCTGGAAGCTCGCTGCGCCCGTTCATGTGGACGCAAGCGTTTCATGTTTTGGCATTTTTTGAGAGGGGCTCGTGTGTGTCCTTGCAATCAGTCGTTTCAGTACTTGTTGCCGAAGAAGAGGATTTAAGATGCATTAATTTTTTAAGACCGAATGGTGCCAAGGGACTATGCCGGCCTTATACTGGGTACCCGGCACTGATCATAGAGCACGACACAACTTGATTGTTTCATGTGTTTCGCCCGGTTTCACTGGCCGTTTGCGCAGGGGCAATCGGCCTTGTTTGTGAGGCCTTGTCTAGGGACCACACACACACGCTGTATATGTGTCACCTCCGTTATCTACACTTTCGTACGACCGCCGTAACGCCACCGTGGTAGTTCGCGCTGCTGAAGCATCACAACGGGCTCTGGTTGAATTTGCGACCATTCGATCTACTAAGAATTATTGGAGCTCCTGCAGTATCAGATACCTGCTGCATCATATCAATTTGTCTTAGCTTTCAAGCCACACCTTCCCCCACCCCCAGTACGCCCCCACCCTGAATGCCGGATAACATGTACATGTTTGCATGTCAAAACAGAGTTAGATTAGATGGGTTGAAGCGTTTCATCGCACGCTTACACACCGCCGCCGCAGCAGCGTCGGCCGGCCCGTCCCCCTCTCACGCCCACCCCGCCGATTGCCTGCCGCAACCGCTACATAGGTTCGTCGTGTCAAGGCCCTGCGCACCGTCGGCAAGGGGGCTAAAGAAGGAGAGGGGGAAGGCGCCGAAGACGGCGGTGGCGGGGACCCGATGGATGGTATCACTACCAGTGGTACCGGCAGCACGTCGGCGGAGGGGATGGGGGACGGGGAAGGCGGTGCGACCGCGGCCGCACGGGCCAAGCGCGGCACGCGGCGTAAGAACAAGGAGAGGAAGGTCCTCTGAAGGTCCTCTGAAGCGTGACTGCTTGTATAGGGAGGGAGAGAGAGAGCAAGCAAAGGCCCGCTGTTCTCTGGAAGCGTGGTTGTGTGACGGATACGCTTGAGGCTTGTGGGCAGGGAGAGCAAGCCCCTCTGTGATCTCAAACGTGATTCGTGATGACTAGGAGGCAGGGAGGGCAAGGCCCGTCGGCTCTCTGGAACGTTAATCAGGATTGATACGCTTGAGGTTTGTAGGCAGCAAGAGCAAGACCCGCGTTGAACGACTGTCTGACTGGGGTCTGGTAACTTTCAATCACCCCGGTGGTTATGTTGACGCAACGAGCGGTATAGTTGAGCATGGCACGTAAAAGCAAGACGGGCGAGAGTAAAATAAAATCCTGTTGGGAATCCTGTTGCGTTTACCCGTGAATGACCGTGTTTCTGCTCGATCAAACGCACGCACGACTTAAGGATTGGGTCTACTGGACGTCAAATGTCAAAAGTGTTCCATGCGTTTTAATCGGTTGTGTAGCTCTACAAGGAGCTGCGATCGGCCAAAGCCAGGCATCACTTTCATCAAATTACAACCCATGAGGACGTACAACATCGGGCGGGAGTGTGGCCGGCCTCAAAGGCAGATTTATTGCACCATCTTCTGGTTGGTGAGGTGTGTTTCAAATCTCCGGTATATTATGGTGTTCCAGCACGAGCGACGTGGTGACACCAACCTTTTCACCTGGGAGCGTCAAACTTTCGACAATCTTATCTTATTATTGATCGGCCAGCAGGAGTTGCCCTGCATTCGACGCCTCCACGTGTGCAAGTTGACGGTGAGGTTTTTGAGACCGTGCTCGAAACGAGGCCTGGTTCAAATGGTTTTAAAAACCAACATTTCCTTCCCGTCAGGGTCTTGGGTCGCACATAATGAAAACATGTAGAACCGTCCGTCTGTCAACCTTCAGTCAGGATCAGCTGGACTGACTCAAATGACTCATTACTCATGCCTTCAAGAGAGATGAGAAAATGCAGAGTAGGATGCCACACTGCAGTAAAATTACAACAAAACGACTGCTGGTACAGTCCCTCTCAAGTGACCCTGTTCAAGCCCCTGTACGGATACACCATCCTACCGCGCTTACTCCACAACAAGAGAATTCCAAGAAAAATTGTCGAACGCTTTCGGACAGGGATCCTGTCAACAGAAAACAAAGCCAAGAGCCCGACAGCGAATCGGGGAGCCGAACCAAAGAGCCATGCCAATATTGCGTCAGCATCACGCGTGAAAGCGAAACATCCCACCAAGCCTAAACCCACACCCAGCAAAAAGAACAAAACACAACACAAGTAACCATCATGACACCCAAAAGAGCACAACAACAAACCAAAACAATGCGCAGCAGGAGATTTCATCGTTCCCTTCTCTTCTCTTTCGCCTCGTCGCCAAGGAGATAGTAGGATAGCAAAAGACCGAGGAAGTGCGACTACGCCGACGATTCCACCACTAACCCGTCTACTCTACACCAGGCTGTCATATCCCCTCCTGCAACCATCCGCCATTCGCTCATCACCATCGTAAAAAGAAGGTCCACGAGTGATTGTCCCACGCTTTAGTTCTTCGCGAGTGGAATCGATATCTTCCAACTGCGTTGTTTTTCGTTCTTCGACTTTAGACAACATAACAGAACAAGGCCCGCGGGTGACTACCCCGGGGATGCATAGATAGCCTAGTCGAAGCTTAGTCGACCTGCTCCATCGTCGACTCCTCATCGCCTTCGGCGTCATCGAGATCGGGGATGTCATCGTCGCCATCGTCCCCTGCCGCGTCGTCCTCGTCGATCGAGAGACCCAACTTGATAAGCCTGTGCAACGAGACGTCAGAAACAGCAGATTTCATGAAACGGTTGATTGAGAAATTGTGCCCGACAGCCTAAAAACGAGTCACAACCTCTTTGCGCATATGCAGACACCTGCCCAAATCATGGGCGCGTGCTGTGCCACCCAACAAAGGGTCACGGTACGATAAATCGTACGTGCCGACAAGAGGAGAGGCGAATTACCCACATCCACCATTCAGGATCTCGGCATGTTCAGCTATACCACCTACCGCTCCATGGCAAAGAAGCGAACCACAACGCAACGCTTCTGGAAATAGTGCAGGACATCAACCACAGCGGTCTCCGATTTGGATAGGGGGAGTGATGGCCGACGGCCTGCGTGGAAAAACAGTGGCAAAGCAGCTACACACATTCCGGTGTACCCACCTGTGGATGCGTCCCGCGAAGGTGGTTGGCTCGTCGAGGCTGAAGCCCGAGGTGAGGAGCGAGGTGTCGTAGAGGAGCCAGATCAAGTCCTTCACCGTCTTGTCGCTCTGGTCCGCAGACGCCTTCGGAAGTCAAAACAACAAGAGGGGAGACCAACAACACAAAAAGTCAGAGATTTGCCTTGGGTGCGCCCACATCGTTACTGTACAAGAACGACGTAAAAAAAGCCAACGACTGAAAGAAGCAAAGGACTACGAGGTCTGATTGCGGCGGAGCGCCATGGCCACGGTGCAAAGCGCTGACCTGTAGTAGGCGTAATGATATACTCTAAATATCGAACTTGTTTTTTTGTCGGAAAAGACGAAAATCTCGTCAGTGACTCAACAATAACAACAGAAAGTGGGTGTTTTTTGTCCCTCATTCAGCGTTGCACATTTCAAGTTCTCACTTCAAAAGCAGATTTTCATGTTCAGTTTTAGGGACGCAATCGTAACCACAAGCGCACCTTCTCCCGCAGGGCGACAACGATGGAGTTGGTGGGGTTGACCTCCATGGTCTTCTTAGAGGTCATGTACGACGACGTCGAAGAGTCGCGGAGGGCCTGCGCCTTCATGATGCGCTCCATGTTGGCCGACCAACCGTACTCCCCCGTAACGAGCACGCAGGGGGAGTCCGCGAGACGGTTCGACACCACTACCTTGTCCACCTTGTCCACGAGTACCTCCTTCATGAGCTTGCAGAGGCCCTCCGATGCCGCCTTGGCCTGTGTTCGTGTATACGGCAAGGGCACCGTGTACAACCATGGTCGGAAGGTTGGAATATCGTTCGCAATAGTTGCCGGCCGCTGCACCAGGAGAGTCGGATTCAACGCCATCACCTCAAACAACTGGTGTTGGGTATCACATGGAACGCTCACCACACAATGGAATACAAGAAATACCGCCGCGTCGTACATTCCTTGTCTTCAACGCAATCGCTTTCGGCCTTTCTCTTCTCACCAGTCCACACGCCTTACCTCTTCGAAGTTCTTGTTGTCCTCGTCCGACTCGTCGATGGTCATCCCCTCCTTGGTCGCGCAGATGAGCTTCTTGCCCTCGAACTCCTTGAGCTGCTGAACCGCGTACTCGTCGATCGGGTCTACCATGAACAGGACCTTCGCAACCCCAGACAGGATAAAACACGAAAACAAAAATGCAAGGCTATCAGGCACCGTTTCATGAACACAGACGACGCGAGGTGAATCCACGCGGGCGAACAAAATCTCCTCCATGTACACAGAAGACTCAACTCTCGACTCCACGCTGGCGAACACAACGTCCAACGAGTGCGCCTCAGCAGCCCGTCTCGTGTGTTTCTACCAAATACGCTACATCCCTCCCTCCCAGCCGCTTATTCGGTTGTTCTGCAAAGGCGAGACAAAGGAATCTCGCACAAAACGAACGAGCGTCTCCTTCGAACGAGGTGCTGTACAATGCAACTTCCTAACTTACCTCGACGCCCTTCTTCTTGAGCTTCTCGAGGAAGGGGGAGTTCTCCACCGCCATCTTAGACTCTCCGGTCACGTAGTAGATGCCCGCCTGCTTGTCGTCCATCCTGGAAAACACAACCGCAGGAAGAACCGGTAGCACAGACAAAAGGTTGTGAAAAGCTGTTAAAAATCGCCGCGGCCCTCCCGAAGTACCGTAGCACACGGGCGTGGCGGTGTTGCGTATAAATCATTTTATTTTGCACGCCGACAGTACTCTATGTGTATAATCTTACTGCGTACAATCTTAGTAACGTTTGGTTAATGTGCACGGATCTCATCATTTCAAAATCATAGCACTGCCCGCTTCATGTGCACGACGCTCATGAGAAGCTTGGTTTTGTGTTGTCTACTTTGGTAATGTGCGCATGTACATGTATACCTTGCGACGTAGTCGTCGAGGGAGGTCATCTCCTCGCCGCTCTTGGTGGAGTGGTAACGGAGGAGCTTGGCGAGCTTCGCACGGTTGGCGGCGTCCTCGTGGATGCCCAGCTTGAGGTTCTTCGCGAACGCCTCGTAGAACTGAAAAAAAAAAAAAAGAGTGGCACGTGAGAGTCCACACATGTGATCGAGTCGTATGACATACCAATCGGATATTGAGCAGCCACAGACGATACGCCAACACCAAATGTGCAAAGCTTTAGGGGAGGAACAAATCGAAATACGGGCACGACCGACTGCTGTTAACGACAATCGCCAAAATGGGACTTTCACCCCAAAAAGACGTTGTCGCACTATTCGACGAGCAAAGTCTATGGCCCGATACATGTTTTATCGTTGAGGTTACCGCCCAACATGTTATCATCGGCCGGTACGGCCGGTCAATGTTAAGGATCTTCAGGCCAAACAAACGATGCAATACACGCACCCAACCATCAACGAGCACACGTACGCCAATGTATCATACAAGACAACACACCTTCTTGTACTTATCAGCGTCCTCAGCGAGCTCGTTGAAGAGCTCGACCGACTTCTTCACAAGGTTCTTTCGGATCACGCGGAGGATCTTGTTCTGCTGGAGGCTCTCGCGGGAGATGTTGAGGGGCAGGTCCTCCGAGTCAACGACACCCTTCACGAACTGCAGGTACTCGGGCATCAGGTCCTCGCAGTTGTCCATGATGAACACCCTCCGCACGTACCTGCGGTATAAAAGGGGACAAATAGCCGCGGTTAGGCACCTTGTACAACACTGCCATCAAGGAGATGGGCAAATAAGGCTATTATAGTATGGTAGACCATTATCAGCGTTTACCCTGCCCACTGCTTGTGCAGTGGCGTACAACAGGGCCTACAAAAAAAATCTGCAGTGCCATGTTTGTCCAACGAGCACAAATTAACCATGTGTTTCCAAAGCGAACAGGAAATACCAGCGAACCAGTAGCCGATCGTCAACTCTCTTCTTTCCTCCCAACACGAAATCGAATCTCCCAAATCTCGAGGTGAATAAAAGAATTCCGCCGCTTTCCCACCTTAAGGAAAAAACGATACCGTACAAAGTCGACACCGACTCATCCGGCCGTTCCCAACAAAGCGCGTACACCTCAACAAAAATGCTCCACATAGCCGAGCACACGACAACCAGCAACTACTCACAGCTTGATGTTGTTGTGCTTCTTCTTGGTTCCGCCCTCAAACATGTCGAACGGCGCGCGCTTGGGCACGAAGAGGACAGATCGGAACTCGAGCTGCCCCTCGACGGAGAAGTGCTTCACCGCCGCGTGGTCCTCCCAGTCGTTGCTGAGAGACTTGTAGAACGCCGCGTAGTCGTCGTGGGTGACCTCCTCGGACTTGCGCATCCAGATGGGCTTCTGCTGGTTCAGGTGCTCCCACTCGTGGGACACCTCCTTGATCTTCTTGGTCTTCTTCTCCTTGCCCTCCGATTCGTCCACGTCCTCCACCTGTAGAGCAGAGCGAAATTCGTATTGAACACCATTACAAGAGAGACACCATTGTTAAGCCTCTGATACACGCTAAGGTAGAGATTTGTGGGCAGGGGGGTTGATCTTGCCAGAATGGGTGGCACAAAACCAACGTGGGATCATTCTAAAACGATGTGGAACTAAATTTGGGCAAACACGGGCAGCCACACCAAGGGCTTCAATTTCTGGAACAAAAAAAAAGAGTAATTAGGCACAGCAGGCTAGCGTCATACGTTCGTACACCGAAGATGAAATACAAGTGGCCGCATATCGATCGCGTGAATACATCAATGTACAGTTGTCAAACGGGCTGTATGAGGGACATCCAATCGATGGAAGAGCACCACATACACCAAGTCATCTGATATGATTCAACACATGGCTAAAACAATGCTCCTCACTAGAATAGTAACTGCTAATTGTCATTGTTCATTGCTCGATCAGAGTTAACCGGACACCCTCTGGCTTGGCGGGGCCGGCTCTTTCGGGTTCAAGACATGGTCGGTCATGTTTGGGGAAAGAAGACTTTCTCGTCACCTCGAGCAAAAAAAAATATATATACAATCGCACATCTAAATCCTAAAGGGTTCATGGGACTCAAAAAGAAGAGAAAGAGAGGCGGACACGAGAGAGTGCCCCATCAGGTGCCATCCATCTGACCGCTCTTCCATCGACTATTTCAGAAGAAGGAACAAACAAATGAGGTCGAAACTTACGACGGTGACCATCTTTCTGTCAACTGCGGAGGCCGTCTTACCTCGAGTGGGTCTTAATAGTATTTCTGGATCTCTTCAGACGCACAATTCCTCAGAAGAACCAATTATCAACAAGCATCCCAACGAACGCAGAAACCTTCATCGACGGTGCGCAAGACACCCAACACCTACACACCACATACCTTAGGCTCCTTGTCCTCGTCCTCATCGTCCGCCTCGTCCTCGTCATCGGTAACCTCCTTCTCGGTGGTCTTCTCCGTGTAAAGCTTGATCGGGAACCCGATGAACTCCGAGTGCTTCTTGACGAGGTCCTTGACCTTCCTCTCCTCGAGGAACTCCGCCATGTCCTCCTTCAGGACCAGCTCGATGCGGGTTCCCCGGCCGACGGGCTTGGCGTCCGGCCCGTCCTGATAGACGGTACGGGTACGTTTTTCGGCGACAAGATTCCATTCCGCGAAATGACGGCAAGCAGGGTGTCACAAGTTGTGATGGGGTACGGTATTCGTAGGTGACATTCCATTCCGCGACACGACGGCAAGCAGGGTGTCACAGGTTCGGCTTGACACGCAATTCTTCATCATCTTGATGGAATGCGACGATACGACGATTTTCGCGTATTCCATCACGATGGGGAGGGATTTTGTGTCAAGCGGAAGCAAGTACATTTTGAGAGAGCGTGAACTTTCATATCGTTCTCTTGCACAAGGCATAGGGCTAGCAACGGACAGCCGAACCTGCACACTTGTTCAACGGTCAGCTGCGCTTTCCCTTTTGCTGCATAGAGTAACCGCATGAGTTTCATGAGTAAGGCACATGCAACAATAACAGACGTACGCCTACGTCAATTTGTCGGAATTCGATTCATACATCGCCATTACTGTTCATGGATGTTGCTTTTGAAGAGAGGTACACGGTTGAAGTGAAAAAGCAAAGACACCAGTACCAACATACATGCTCAGCGAACGAACGACATTCTGAGGCGACATTAGAAGGCAATCTGCTTTGAAAGTCAATCGGTAAGAGCGACGTCCGTCAAAATCCCACCCCAAACAGCGGTCGCCAATCGGGCAAAAACGATCCCAAGCAGCAGTGGTCAATGGCAAAAACACCATTGCCCGAGTCTTTAGTCCACGGGTCGCACCTGGGTAACCGTGAACGAGCCGCCCGCGGAGGACTCCCAAGTGTGCTGCTCATCGTCGTTGCTCTTGGAGGTGACCGTAACCTTGTCGGCAACCAGGTAGGCCGAGTAGAAACCAACTCCGAATTGGCCGATCATGCTGCACGACAACCAGTGCACGCAGAAGACGGTGTCAGAAACGTGTCTACAAAAGCAGAGGCACCAATGGTGTAAGGCATGGTTGTGGAAGGCTGAGGCGACTATAATAATACAAGCCGGTATGAAGGAACTCTTCCAACAATTGGAACAAGCTACACAGGAGGACACCACGTTTCTCCCCGCTTTCGCTTGAGTTACTGAATTTAAAACAGAAACAAGAAAAACTATGGAAGCCCCGCGCAGAGTGTCCACGCTAACGGTACACCTGCCAAGCATGGAATCACATCGACACTCGTCGTGCTGTTGCCTTCCTGTCGCTACCATTGCAATATTATCTCATAGCCAGGGCAAAGAAAAATTCCATACATTGCAGGCTACAATGGTACCTGATGTCGGCTCCGGCGCTGAGGGCCTCCATGAAGGCCTTGGTGCCCGACTTGGCGATGGTACCGAGGTTGTTCACCAGGTCAGCCTTCGTCATGCCGATACCGGAGTCCTCGATGGTCAACGTGTTGTTCGCCTGCGGTGCACCGTATCCACAGCAGTCGGTCAATATTAGACCGCAATGCCATACACAAATCAATTGCTGTAATCCGGTGTGTGCTGTACAGATGGACCGGATCATGACCTTGCAAACAATGGGTGGCACTTTCTTACGTATACTGGTTGTCGGCGACAGCAGTGGTTCGAGCAGCGACCGACCGCCTCCACCAAACAGCCATTCGTACACAGCAGTGGACGCAAGGCGGTGTTTCGATGTTCAAAATCGCGACATGACACAGCAGCAGTATGCATGCGAGGTTGGAGGCAGCGAGAGAATCACAAACCCCGACTCCGATCCATTTTGAGAAAAGTCGGGTAAGGTTGGCAATCGTGCAAGGCCGCGTGTACACACGTACACACAATCTGCTGCAGGACACACGCTGTGCCGTTGTAGATTACGGAGAGCAAATACACACACAGAAAGACTACATGCAACCCATCCGATTGTTGTTTTGGTTACGTAGATGACGTCAAAAATGTTCTAAACCAAGGGTCTGGTCCACGACGGGTGAGACTCGTTCAATCAACCCATCATATCCGTCCGAGTAGGCCACGGCTGAATTGACTCTCGTCCCTTCTCAGAGACGAACTTACATCACGGACAGAAAGCAGATACAATCACAGGCTGGGTATGATGTGTCTGCACTACCGGAGCGGGTTAATCGAGAGCCGCCACACACCAGCCACCGAAATTTACGCGCCATTTTTTTTTTTTCAGCCGCCGCCGTCTCGTTGTCAGCTGACAGGCCAACAAGATTGATAAAAAAAGAAGACACCACTTTCTTTCCCTTGCAAAACACACACACACACACCTTGTCGGGGATGACACGGATCTCCATGCTTGGCTCCGAGTCCAACACTGCCTTGTCCGTGAGGGACTGGTATCGAATCTTGTCGAGGGCATCGCTGGAGTTGGAGATGAGCTCACGGAGGAAGATCTGTTTCAAAAAAGAAGACGAGAGAGAGAAAGGTCGGTCGGAGAGCGGGTGAAATTCTGCACAGCCGGGAACCAAGGATACTTTTTTGGTTGGGTGGCACATCCAAACACTCGGATACCTCTCGCCAAATAAACCCTCTTGCCGCAGGAAGCCCGGCAAGGGGCATGCACAGCAACCCGCAGGCGCAACCGGACGCGTGCGTGTCCAGCGAAAGAATTGGAATCGAGGGGGTAACGGCGCCAACCAGCGGAGCACCGGCGCTGCTGCCAGCTTTGTTCTAGAAACTCCACGCAGGACCATCTCATGGTTTTCTTTGTTTCCCGCTTGGCTCTTTTGCCCGATCCGGACTAAGGCCGTCGCCCTGCTACCAAAATCTTCGATTCCGGCGGCCGACTGACAGGCTTGCAATGGGAAGGCTTTCCCGCTGGTTGTTTTTCGCAAAAGGCAAGCAGGCCCATGACCTTTTACGGAATTCCCGAGGCGGATACTGCTCGAGTCTCTCGCTGGACGAGAGCGAAGAGGATCTCGAAAAAAGCGGCCCACCTCACTATCCCCCACACGCCGCCGAAAAACACTCAGCCGCCACCAAAAATCAACCAGCAGGGAGGCAAGGGAGCACTTCCTCGCAGAGAGATACTTCTCTCCTGCATTTCTGTAACCGCCACCGCTGCTATCCACGGCCCCTAAGGCTTTGGAAGTGGTTGGTGAGCTCTGTGTACGGCCAGTTTGGTCCGGGCTCAAACCTCACCTCCTTGTTGGAGTAAAAAGTGTTGATGATCAGCGACAGAAGCTGGTTGATGTCGGCCGAGAAAGCGAAGGTCTCCGCCTCGGCTGCCGGGGTAGTTTGTGGTTCGGCCATCGTGCTGCTCTTGAGGGGCGCGCTTGCGTAGTGCTACCGAGAGTTTGGTGTAGATTTGACGCGTTGTGTGTGTGTGGCTGCCACGAGAGCAAAGCGGAGCAATCGCCAAAAACATATTATGAGGCGTTTTTGCTTTTTCCAGAAGACGCGGGGATGGGGGTGGGGCACGATTCCCCCCCGCCCTGCTTGCCTGTGGTCTTCTTTTCAATACCAGCTTGTTGCGGGCGTTGGTTGGTTGTTTCGCCTTCCTGCTGCTCCCCCTCCAAAGTCAGTCATGTTTTCAACGACTAGACTTAGTCTACCTTCTTTCATTAGTACAGCTGCTTGCTGTTTTTGTCCTCACATAAAGTAGTCGTACAAGAAAACAACCAACAACAACGACAACATACATACAAAACATACACCCTAGCCACGAAGTACATCATGGAAGAGGGCATCTACTGCTGCCTCTATCGATGTATATCTGTGTGTACAGCATATACCAAGCGAACACTATTGATTGTCTGAGTACTGCTGTACCGGGAAAAATAGTGAGTACGCGGGATGGCAGCGTGAGAAGAACTTACGAGCCTACCTTGTTGCTCCCAGAACATACATGCCTGGATGATGATTGCCGGCTTTCTCCTACAAACAAATCAAAAACTTTAGATAAATTCGGACGATTTACGAGTTCGCTGCTTCTAGGTCCCAGCGTCCCAGCACACAACGCGACCTCTACCATCATAGTTTCTGCCGAGGGGGGGGTTCTTACAGTAGATCCTAGGCTCATGCTACGATTTGCAACTATATATTATATAGGTTTAGAGTATCGATCGGGGTTCTTAACCGAGATCGCAAAATGGTCCTCAATGACCACGGTAGCCTGCTGCGTCCTCGTTGCTCAGGTTATTTTTTTTAGATTCGAAGTATTGATTTTTTTTAGGCCCAATTTTTCTCAACTCCTCGGTTCTCAACTCAAACGCGGGCCGTTCTGTCGACCTAGTACCTAGTGGTAGAGGTTACGGCTGACGGCGTGGGTCTTGTTATCTTCTGAACGCCGGGCGCACGAGAGTGATCATGTATGTGTCGATGTATGTATGAAGACCTTCCCGCTCAGGAGCAAGAAACGATGCCGCGAGGAATATACTTAGACTTCCATGTATTATAATATATAGTTGTCCAATCACGCACAGCACGCACAAGCATCAATATAATAATATGCGCGTGTGTATGGAGGACCCTCGGAAAACAAAAAAAGTGCTGTTGTTGCTGGGCCAGCATCAATATAATAATATGCGCGTGTGTATGGAGGACCCTCGGAAAACAAAAACAGTGCTGTTGTTGCTGGGCCAGCTAAATTCCGGGCAGAAAACCTCTCTCGAGTTTTGTGTCGTGAACACATGTATTAGTAAAGTTCTTGCTCCACACCTACACATCGCAACACTTGCCAACGTGTCTTGCTGGAGTTAATCGCTCATACTACGCACGTAAGTACATACCTAGAAAAATCGCACGCCCCAAAAACAACGAAGAAAGAAAGAAATATTTCACAAGGCAGGCTGAAGGGCAAGCAGCAAGTTGGGAAATGCTACATACGAACGAACACATGCACACACACCAACAACCGCCCTCAAGCTCCAATCTGTATAGAGTATTATTTTGAACCATACAAGGTCATCTTATTCGTCCCGAGGTAACGCAATAAAATACGGCTTGGTTTGGCCTTCCGTCCGCCGGAGGCTGCCGCCAGAGATTGCCGTGACCACAACAAAAACAACAGCAGCAGTAGCGGCAGCAGCAGCAGCAGGAACAACAAAGAAAAGTAAGCAGGTGCGATAGATTTCCTTTCTTTCCGTGCAACGCGGCTACACTCTAACGCACCCACATACCAAACGCTTGCTTGCGAATAGAATAAAACACAAAGCGCGACACGACGGCTAGTCGGTCCACTATTATTCTTACCACCCCCGTCCTCCCATCAATCAATGAAATCTGATCTTCACTCCTTCTGTGTCGGTGAAATTCATGACAGTCTCTTGTGCCGTCGCCCGTTGCCATTAACTAAGTAGGTACAGACAGGCAGCAGTCAGTGCAGTTAGGCAGAATAGTCGCCCCCGGCTAAGGAACCTGAATGAAACACTTTCCCTCCCTCCAACAATTCAAAATCACCGCCCCTATTCGCATCATCAATCGTCATCACGCACGCCGGGGGCAAAGGAAAAAAACAAGCAAGACAAAGCAACGCCACACCAAAAAAAAAGGAGCTTAGGAACAACTTTCTTTTGTTTGTTTTTATATTGTTTCTCATCCTGTGTGGTCCGTCATCCAAAATGGAGCTACAATGGCTCACCCAAAAACCAAGAGACTTTAACCTAAGGGGCACGTCATTTCCAAATGAAGCGAGGCCCCCATCCTACGGCCACACACCGGTCGCCGAATGGCAACCGTCGCGAAGAAGGAAGAACTAAGGGCTACCCCCCCCACACACGCCGTGATGACATTCATTTCTTGCCATGAAGATAACTAAACATGTAATAGACGTGCATGCCACAGAGAAAAAAAGAGAAGAACAGATAGCGACAACGACGACCACAACTACGTGCCAGCAGCAGCAGCAGCAGTCGCTTACTATATACGGTAATGTACGTGTATATATCTCGAGACCGGAGAAACGACCAGCCCACCAAAGCTACCCGTCCCTCTCGCCACACACACCAAACGCTCGCGATCCATTTGGTTCAAGATGAGACAGGAATGATGACAAAGCCAATCCATGCCAAGAAGAAAAAAAAAAAAACGTGCGTACGTACGCATGAGAACACCACCACTTTCGGCAAAGTTAAATCATCCACGCTTTTTGTGCTTGCTTGACAGAACTCACCAACATATTAAAAGACGCATCAGCGCAAAAGAGACAAAGAAATGCCACGCCTCTAGCGTGTTATCTACACCAAGAACAGCAAAGCCGGCCAGTACTAAACAGAAAAAAGGCCACCAACGGCGCAACTCCCTTCCGCTCTTTCTTCTGACTCCGGCACAGGTCCCAAATAAAAATCGAGAATACAAATAAATATATGCAAGGGATTACCATCTACCTGGTAGTTATTTTCACACAACAAACTTCTTGCGTTGATTCCCGCTCAACCGCGAGCGCGCCAGAAAAGCGCACGGTATGGCAGCCCCAAGGTGACAAGGTTGGAAAACACAAACTTCAACTCTCATCGCCATCATCATCACCATCGAGACCCACAACACCTCCTCCCTCCTGATACAGCCAAAAAACACGTTGGGTACATCCATCAATCCATCCATCCATCCATCCATCCATCCATCTTACCACCTACCCCTACTCACGGCTTCCGTCTGAGACTGATTATTGTACCTACCGCCCGCTGCAAGCCGAAAAAATATCCGATTTGGAAGAAGGTCTACCAACAGACAGACGGGTGCGTTCGACGACATTCTTCATCCACCCCGCCGTGGCGAACGACCTTCTTAGCAACAGCACGTCCCCCACGCGGAATCTAGCAACCCCTCTCCAGGGAAACATGGGACGATGGATGGGCCATGGCCCAATCCACCGCCGCATCACTTTTTTCTTGCATCTTCTTCCGTTCGTCTCCTACGCACTAGACGGTCGTGCAACCCAAGCTATCGCTCTCACTGAAATCATCGCTGAGCCAGCCGTACATCCGCTGAGCCAGCCGTACATGTGTTTTCGGACAGCCAGCCTTCTGTAAAAATACCAGGTCTGGCTTCCAGGGTGTGCACGTATCCTCCCCCCCCCTTCCCTTCCCGGCACACACCCCGCCTTTCCATCTACTGCGCTAGCTAGCTTTGGTTCTACGCTCCCGGGAGAGCTTGTGAAGGAACTACCATCGATATGAACGAAGGTCGTAAGGACATTTCGCCAGGGTAGGTACCACAGGACACGACACAGAGATGGCGACGCGGAAGTGGCTCCGTAAAAAGGACTGCCAGCCAGCCTGCTGGTGCGGCAGACACGAACAAGAGAAGCGCTGGCCACGGTTAAGCACGAGCGCACGCCGGGCTGCTCTGCGGCCAAACACCATCCACCATCCAAACACCCTCCACGAGGACAACACAAACCAGTGACAACCATACAATAAAGAGACACACGAGGAGACAATAAGGCGGCACGGTCGACATCTACAGCAACGCCCCGGGTACACAACTCCGCATTGTCGAACACCCTTCTTAGCCGCCGAGCAGCAGGGCAGCAGTCAGCCCGCGGCCGGGCGTGGCAGGCTACCTCTCTCTCTCTCGCATCCCACAAAACCAAACCGCGAAAAAACGCAACGAGAGGCTGGCTCCCGTGACGTCCACCTTCAATAGATGGAGCCACCCCCACCCACCCTCTCTAATAACGAGTCCGAACCGAAGTGTGCCCTAAAGACAAAAAACAACAGAACAAAACAAACGGGAGTCCGAGGAGACACAATCCTTTACACACTTTTTTTCTTGCAAAAAAAACATGGCCGCGGGGACTTACGATATGTTGGGATATACTCGCGACACGGTGCGACCACCTGCCCGAGCGAAGAAACGCGCTAGCTTGCACCCTTTAAAAAACATCTATAAAGATTGCTCGCTGCACTCGACGGACTGGCCGACTCAACAGCACCCGCCGCCCCTCTCTTCGTTAAAATTTGGCACACACTCCACATGACCGACTTGTCGCAAGGGGATGGGAAAGCTACGCTACTGCGGCAACAGCGATGACGGCAGGAGCAAAAACTGCACGCTGCGACGGTTCTCGCACAAACAAAATTACTTGAGGACGGACTTGATTCGTAAAGTAGACATTTTAGGTATAGTCCGGGCTCCGTACGGGGTTGAGTGTTCACATTCCCCCCCCACCCCCCCCACCCTGTGACCCCCAAAAAATTCAAACAAACGTACAAATACATCCCTTTGCTTTTCCTCACGGCGCCCTATCGTTGGGACGGCAAGTCACGCGCCCCCTTGCTCTTATCCCTGCGGCGCCCTCGGCGTAACGGTACCCCTCCATACAGTACGACGGCACCCCGGTGCCCCTTTCCTTACAGTGCCCCATACCAAATGTAGATGTCTCGTAATCACGGGGCCGCTTTGTGCAGCAGTACCCACCACTACCATTCCTGGAGGATAGCACGGGGCCCCTTTGTGCAGCGGTATCCAATATTACCACCCCTGCAGGATAGTAGAGGGTCCTCCGTGCTGGCTCTTTAGGGGCATCCATCCCCTCCCATCTTGCAGCTTGACGAACACCACGCTCGAGTTGTCCAGCGGAGTGAAGCGCTCCGACGCGCGGACGCGCTCCCCCGGCCGAACCATGACTCCCTGACAGAGGAAAATACATACATGAAATGAAGATGGAAGATGGAAGATGAAAGTCACGCGTCGTCACTTGAGTTGACGAGTCAAGAGTCAGTCCCAGTAAAGCACGGAAAACAGATTAGATGCCACGTACGTATGCATGTACGTGTTCTACGAAAAAGGGAGGAAAGAGTTGTGTTTTTTCTTGTCCAAAGAAGTGTACTATTATAGCAGTCCATGTATGCATATGAGCAGCAGCAGCAACAACAACAACGACGACGACGACAACAACGACGACAGCAACGCTCTACTCACCGTCGCCTGCGTCCTGAGACCCGGTCCGTGCAGGATAGGCACCATGCCCGACGCCCCGGGAGGGAAGGTGTATTCCTCGCTGCAAACAAAAAAACACCAGTTGCAAGACAAAGCCAAACAAACCCGGCGCAGAGATGGGCATGCGTCGATCAAGAGACGTATTTTCGTGCTGGGGGGTAGGGGATGGGGGGGAGGAGGGGGGGGGGGGGGCC